GAGATTAACTTTTGGTGAAAGGAAAAACTTTGTAAAGGCAGATATACCAATTCGTCGTCAAAGAGAACTGTGGCTGGGACAATGGAGGCGGAGCATCATCCCTAGGGATCAAACATAGTGGGGAAAATAAAAATTTCCATTTTTTCATTTGCATAATTAAGTTGATGGATTGATTCATTATTTTTTCCTGAGAAAATTCATAAAACTAAATGCAAATGAAAGAAAAGGCACTTCCACGCTTCTTTCACTTTAGTGTTTTAAATCCAAACCTAATTAATGGATTTTGCATTCAGTGATCGGTTTTAACAAGGAATTATTATTAGACTTAGCCTCAGCGGCTACTAAATCATATTCAAAGTTAATTAGAGCAATAATAGCTAATGCACGTTTAAATAAGATTTTTTTTATTTAGAAAATCGCATCGACCAAATGGCCATTAGTGAAAAATTAATGGATTACATTAGGTACAATTACTGCATTACAATTTGGTTTATTAAATATAGTGTTAGAACTTATTAATGTCTTTCAACAAATTCAGAGTATTGTTAATGTTACAGTCTGCACCTAGAGCTTCTAGAAGTGTTCCTGATATCTTGATGTTACTTGGTTGTTGATTGTAGAGGGGACATTCACATAGTATGTGCATTATTGTTAGTGTTGTATTACATGTTTCACATCGCGGCGGTTCGCACTATGCGTTAACCTAGTATATCCGAGTCTAAGGCGAATTAAGGAATAATTGGCGCAGTACGAGTCAGTACGGAAGTGGAAGAGTCTTTATAGATCCTCGTCACTTTTAAGTGTTTTTCCCAAGAAGTATATCCTATATACTTCTTGGGGAAGTATACTTGTGTACATAATATATTCTATGTACACAAAGAAGAAGTAAAGAAACAAATCTCTTCAATGTTAGAACAAGGGATGATTCGACCAAGTCAATCGCCATGGTCTTCGCCCATTTGGGTCGTGGCAAAGAAACTAGATTCATCAATATATTTATAATATAATATCAAATATCAAGATATTTTGGACAAATTGGGAAGATGCCAATATTTTACGACCCTCGACTTAGCGAGCGGATTTCACCAAATCGAGATGGCTGAAGAAGACATTCCCGAAACGGCAATTTAATGTTGAAAATGGAGGCTACGAATATTTAAGAATGCCATTTGGACGCTTCATCCACGTTCCAACGTATGATGGACAACGTATTGAAGGGACTTCAAGGAGAAATATGCCTCGTCTATATGGATGACGTAATAGTATATTCAACATCACCACAGGAACAGATGGTAAATCTCACAAAAGTATTTCTGAGATACGTAGTCACACAAGAAGGCATAAAACCGAATCCAGCAAAAATTGAAGCAATAGAAAAATATCCAATATCGAAAACAGCAAAAGAAATAAGAGGATTTCTTGGACTACTGGATATTACAGAAAGTTTATTCGAGACTTCGCAAAAATCACAAAACCTCTAACAAGATGCTTGAAAAAAGATACAAAAATCGAACATACACCAGAATTCGTAGAATGCTTTGAAACGTGCAGAAAATTATTAATGAATGAGCTGTTATTGCAATATCCAGATTTTTCCAAACCGTTTAACCTCATAACAGATGCCAGTAACTTCGCTATCTGTGCAGTACTTTCCCAATGACCAGTTAGCAGTGATAAACCAATTGCCTTTGCTCCCAGAACACTAAATGAAACCGAAACCAACACTTCAGATCACCGTCCTTTGCAATATCTATTTTCTCTAAAGGAACCCAACTCCAAACTAGTACGTTGGAGGTTAAAATTAGAAGAATTTGACTACGAAGTAATTTACAAAAAAGGCAAAGTTAATACAAATGCGGACACACTGTCTCGAATCGAAATACACACAAAGGAAACTAAGGACATCGATTCACAAATTAAGGAAGTCTTTGATGATTGAGTAGACACGGAAGACGATGGATGGTCAACGACTAATAATCCAGATGCAGATCTAATAATCGACGAGATTGTAGAAGAAAAAGCAACAGAATTAATTCCAGAAAACATCCCAGAAGACACTGTTGAACACGAAGATCACAACATCCCAGAAGACACTGTTGAAAACGAAGATCAAAACATGGACGAAGACGGAAATGAAACAATACATACAGCAATAGAAAACCCAATTTTTGGTATACCTATTTCGGAAAAACCACTTAACTTCTATAATAACCAAATTATAGTCAAAATTGTCAACTACAATCCACGACCTCCAGCAATTATACAAACCTTTCCGAATAAGACGTTATCATATCCAGCTATCGAAGGATCAGTTAAAAGCTGATACCATAAAAATTTTTAGGGAACACCTCAATAATTCTCAAACTGTACTACAATAAACAAAGATATGGAGTTAGAACGCGATGAGAAGGGCGTTTTAGACAATGGATAATTTGATATGTTGTAAATAATTTTTATTTTTGTAAATATATTTTGTATACTTACCTGCTTTGTAAAGTATTTTCGTGAAATATTTTTAAATAAAAAAATCGTAAAATATACTTTACATCTTTCTACACCTTTATTGACACAAAATTCTATGAACAGGAAAATGAATTTTTTTTCAAATATATATACAAAATTACCACGTTTGAAATTATCACAACTTTTTATGACGAAGGGTTTTTGAATATAAATTTAAAAGTTTTGAAGTAGTTCAAGAAGATTTTTTTTATATATTTTTGATATAGGTGATATTTTTTAAAGGTTGAAGTGTTGCAATTAACCAAAATTATTTTATGTAAGTAGAGAATTACATGGGGGATGATATAAATGTATTACAAAAACTTTTAAACTTGTTAAACGATTTTTTTACAATTATTTTTATTAAAAGGGGTGGTTTTTAAGATTTTTTAGGAGTTGATAATGTACACAATATCAATTAGTATAATTGAAAATATTTCAATTTAACATGATTACATATCGATGATGATGATCGATATTGATGATATATATAGTCCCAAGATTCCTAAGAGGAACATAGGGCTTCCACAAAGTGTCTCCAGCGAACTCTATTTCTGGCTAGTGCTTTGATTTCAAGCCAGGATTTTCCCATTTTTCTCCCTTCGTCCAGTACTATCCTTCTCCAAGTTCCCTTAGGTCTGCCTACTTTCCGTCGGTCTTGAGGATTCCAATCCAGCGCTGTCCTGGCAATGTCATTTGGCGGTCTATGGAGTGTGTGGCCCAACCATCTCCATTTTCTTCGCCTTATTTGCTTTATGACATTTTCTTGGTTGCTTTGGTTCCATAAATTTTTATTGGAGATTCGGTTAGGCCAAAATATACGAAGGATTTTTCGTAACGCTCTATTGATGAAAACTTGTAATTGGTGTACTATGTGTGCTGATATCTTCCACGCTTCGCAGCCATACAGTAATACAGCTTTTACATTTGTGTTGAAGATTTTTAATTTCGTTTTAGTTGGGTAAATCCTGGATTTCCATATGTTGTTAAGTATGTTGTAGGCGTTGCGAGGCTTATTTATTCTTTCATGTACATCACGCTCTGTACCCCCATTACAGTCAATTATGCTGCCCAGATATACAAATTCCGCTACTCTCTCAATTTTCTGGTCGTTGATCATAATAGGTTGGTTGTTTCTGGTACCAAATCGCATTTCTTTGGTTTTGTTGATGTTTATTTCTAGACCAACCTTCTTTGGTTCTTCTTGTACTTTGTTTACTTGGAGTAGCATGTCCTGTTTTGTATGTGCTAGGAGGCATATATCGTCAGCGTAATCTAGGTCTTCCAGTCTGTTTGTTAATCCCCAGTAAGTTCCCCTATTAGAGTTTACCTTTGTTAGTACGGAGTCCAGTACAATGTTAAATAGTATGGGGGATAAAACACAGCCCTGCTTTATTCCGTTTAGCATAGCTATTGGGTCGGATGTTATGCCGTTGTGTAGGATTTTGCTTTCTGTGTCACTGTAGAGTTCTTTGATAGATTTACTATTTTTTCTGGTATTCCTATTTCCTGCAGTGCTTTCCATATGGCCGTATGTGTGAGCGTGTCAAAAGCTCTCTTGAAGTCCACAAAGCACACAAAGAGAGGAGAGTTGAATTCCTGTGACTGTTCTACAATTATTCTTAGTGTGTTAATTTGGTCCACGCATGATCTGTTTGATCTGAAACTGGCTTGTTCCTTCCTCAACATTGGTTCTACACTGTTTGTTAGTCGGGATATTGATGATGACATAGCATAATTTAACATGATTTAAATCCACAAAATGCTTTAATATTCACTTTTTCATTTTTTTTCAATATGGTGTATTTTTACCCCTTAAAAAAAGCTTACCTAGCGCATGTATAACTTTTGAAAATGGGATAAGATAAACCTAATTCCAAGTTTTTAGCAAAATCTATTGTGTTATAAAAAAATTAGACATATTGACTTATTTTCTCCCACACTGACTGGACTATAATTGCATGTACTAGGTACAATAATAATGTATTTTTATGAAAAACTTCCCATATGTTCTACCTTTGACCTTAAATAACTTTTTTGTCCTTGTGGGATTGATGGTAACTTTTCATTTCTTTCACTTATAATGGCGTTCCAAAATTCGTACCCACTTTTAGCAATTTAGAATTTTTCTAATCTAAACCCTGTTTTTGGGCCATCTTGACCGGAGTGATTGGTCTACATTGGCATTTTTTATTTTCTCTTTATAAGGAGCATACCAACCAAGAAGGAAAACATTTCCAAACACTGCAGTGGCTTGCTGATCATTTTACAGATTTATATACTGAAAAGTTCATAGAAATATAATAGAAAATAATTTGATTTTAATTTCGCCACGACTATATATTTTGTAACGGCATTAATTTATGTAAAGTAACTTTAATTGTTTAATTCTACTTGAACTTCGGCTAGAATTACAGGAGTGCATGTATTTGTTGTAGTATAGTGCCAACACTCATTGCACTTCAGCTAATTTATTATACTATCAACAAATAATTACAATGAACAGCATTTACATTATTATACTTGGGATGATCTTGTTCGAGTATGTCGACTGTAAAAAACAACTGCGTAAGTAGTTCTAAGTTTTATTCAATTATTTTTATTTTTTTTTATGTTATGTTAATTTTCGTCTAACTTCCATAATTTTTTTTCTATATTGTTCTCTTTTTCTCTTTTTTTATTGTTCACTTTCATTGTACGTTTTATCTTTTATATGCTTATTTTGGAATTTTTTCTATTGAGGTCGCAATATTCGATTGTTTCCTCGTAATACTCTTTTATATTATTTTTTTTCGTTTATTTAAAAATTATTTAATAATAAATCTGGTCAAAATGACCAATAATCAATTTTAATCTATCATAAATTACCAAAGTTACTCAAAATCAAGAATTTACCCCATAGTCTTTTCTTAAATCTAATCTAATAAATAATGCAATAATGTTAACATGTACCACACTCCCATGTAAAGATGGGAGTATTCGAATACTGGAATCGAGTAGTATCCGATTCCTTACAGAATCAAATGTACACGGGTACTCGAACTGGAAATCGATTGAGTACTGAGTACTGGGTACCTGCCGAATATAGACGGTTGTAAATTACAGTAATGTTCGGGTCATTCGGAATTTATCTGTTTCTAAGTCCTCGGTTCCATCTTAAAGAGTCTTTTCGAAGGCAGGGCAATTAACGAACGATCGTCGAAGCCGACTATTACCAAAAAACTTGGACAAAATTATATTTTTAAACAGTTTTTATTCTTAAGGTAGTTTTTGTTTTATTTTTTTTGTGACATATTCTAGAATGTTTTTTTTTTTTATTTTATTTATACGTAATTTCTATTTTTAATGTTCATTTAATATTTAAACTGTTTTTTTATTTTTTAGACAATAGTAGAAAACTGAAAGTTTTTTTACTAGCTAAATAATTACTTTATTTATACCAAATATTATATTTAAACACTCTTTTATTAGAAAAATTTTTGGTCCATTTTTGTGATACCTATCTTATTTGTTTTCAAAACTTATATTTATTATAAAACAAAAAAAAACATACGCAAAACACACACAAATAATTGAAAAATCATAGATACCTAAAGATTGACAAACCCACTAGTAATTCAAAATCTGATAGCTACGCTACAGTACTCGGTACTCAGTACTCAATACAGTATCCGATTCCTTACTGTACTCGATTCCACGGTAACCTATTCCCATAAGTAATCGATTCTGACCATAACCACTACGGGAGTACCTCCTTAGTGAGGAACCAAGGAGTATTCACGTTTCTCAGTAGTGTAAACCGTGGTGGGTTGTAACAATTTTCACGTTTAATTTTTTGTACATCTAGATAATAATTCTATCAGTTAACTAATGTATAGGAAATAAAGTCAATAAAATAAATAAGTCAATACTCACAATCTTAAGTAGTTTTTTTATTGTTATTAAATTTGGGCTACTGATTTCGAGGCGTATAAATATTTAAAAAATTTATAGTTTTTCGTTTCGGGGCTTATATTAAAAAAAAGTAACGTTTTAAAATGTGGCATTAAGCAGTTAGTAACGGAACCTACTAGAATTACGAATTTTAGTAAAACCTTAATTGGTTATGTTCTTGTTACTGTGTTAACGAGGAAAAAATATATCAAATCCAAATGAATTTACTACTTTCTTGGTTAGTGAAATTTACAATGAAATTTTATCAAACAGTCAGTCTGTCATAAATAAAATAGCATCTATTTTAACATGTCAGATCAAAAATAACATACCATGGTCTGATAATCAAATTAAAAGTAAAATTAAAATTAAGGACAAATTATACAAAGATTTTAAAACTGCTAACATAAGCGATAGAAATTCCAAATGAGAGGATTTTGAAAGAGCAAGAAATGTGGTAGTTAATATGTTAAAAGCAAAAAAAAGAACAATATTATTTCAATAAAATCGATAGGTATAAAAATAACTCTACACTTATGTGGAAAATGCTAAAAACAATAATTAATAATAATTGTCCAAAATTCCCTTATCGCATTGAATTTAAGGTTCAGAATCAGTTATGCATTCTGAGTGACAAAGTAGAAATGGTGGGTCAGTTTGGTGAGTATTTCGTGTCTAGTATTCAGCAAATTATTAAAACTTTGAACTAAGACTCTGAAGAATTATGGAGTTATGATAATCAGAATTTGTTCATATTTAAATGATATCAACTTGTTTGTTAAATGAGATTTCTTTCATTTGTATGCAGATGATACACTACTTGCATGTTTTGATTCAAACTTAGAAAATGCTGTATCTAAAATGAATTCAGTATTGCAGTCTGTTAATAAATATTTAAAGATCAATAAACTAAAAATAAATGTGTTAAATATGAAGGCTACAATAATAACTAAATACAAATACTCAAATATTGATATAAATACTATTAATCTTTAAATTGACAATGACAAAATAGAAATCATCACATCAATTAAGTACCTTGCAATTTTAATGCAATGATTCAAACTCACTTCCATTTTTGCTCGTCAGTTAATTTTCTCTTCAATTTTAATCAATCGGCCTAGTTGCAAAAATTGCAAAATCGTGGAATGAAAATTATTCTTGGTGGAAGCAGATATACACTTAAACTTCTTGTTCTTACAGTATATGTCCCATCATCAGACCTCACTACATAAGTCTTTATTTTAATAAAAACTACAAGCTAAAAACAACATGAAACAAACAATGAGCAACTAAATCAAAAACAAAAAATAAAATAAGCAAACAACTATAACATTATGAAATCGTAGGCTTCCACGGCCAGAGTCAGAATTATAGTTTATTCGTCTTCCGGGTTTGGACCGTATCATTTGTGAGTGACCCAAAAGTGGGTTCATCTCGACGTTTTGCTACAATTGTATGTAGCTTCTTCAGGAGAACAAAGAAAAAGAAAACAAAAGACAGGAAGATGGGTAGTTAGCAACGGTAACTCAGTTACTCAACGCAACCAGAGGCGAATACTAACTACCAAGATGTGCATTTGGCCACAGTAACTCAACTACTCAACGCAGCCAGAGGTGAAAACCAAATGTCAGGACAAGGATTCACGTCCAACAGCTCAGAACACTAACGCGTCGAGAGGCGTCGAGGTAACTGAGTTACCGTTGCTAACTACCCATCTTCCTGTCTTTTGTTTTCTTTTTCTTTGTTCTCCTGAAGAAGCTACATACAATTGTAGCGAAACGTCGAGATGAACCCACTTTTGGGTCACTCACAAATGACACGGTCCAAACCCGGAAGACGAATAAACTATAAAACTATAACATTAATTTAAGTGAGAGAATTGACAACATATATAATGTTAATTCAGTGGGAACTGTAACATTAAGTAAGTGAGAGAATATACAATGTATTGAGACATCAGTGGTATTGGTTATAACCAGTCTAATGGGAACTGCACAATAGAGTCAGTCATTAATTAATATATGATTTGTAAATTTAAAATTAACTTATTATACATTAGAGTTACAACTTATATATCATTCACAAGAAGGCTCTTCTATTGTACATAGATAATTCTGTAGATCACCACCACCCTCAAAAAAATAATGGGAAGTAATTAAATATGAATTCACTTACACAATTTACTAAAATAGCATTTTGCCAAAGATGTTCTGATGTTAATTTGTCATGTTTTAGTGTTTATGTTATATTCTTTCCCGCCATACTATGCTATGGTTAAGTAAAATATATTAACTATCAGTTTAATTGAAAGTATTATTTATTTTATATAAACTTTTTCTCATAAAAAAATGTAAAAACAAACATATTAAAAGGTATACAAACTGAGTTATTAGCAAAACAAAGAGGTAATTCCAAATGTCCAACTTGCCCCAAACAGGGGTTGGTTGTGACAAGCCCTAATTCTTTATATATCGTCGGAATTGCAGCGAATTCAGATGAAACATTGTCTTCTATTGGTACACTCTTCATGAGCCCACTTGGACAAGATGGTGCACTATAAACATTTTTCTTTTCAGGGTTCGAAAAAGATTCACCATGCACTAAACAAAAAGCTTCATTCTCGTTTTCAGAACTGTTTTTAACTAGATCTTTACTGATTCCTTTACCTTTAGTGCAAAAATTTATTTTACACCAGATTGTTTTGCTCCTTATTTAAAGTATCAGTCAAAATGGCATTGTTTGCGTTATTTTCGTAGTTTCAGTCTAATTCCAGGGTTTGGTATTGGCCTTAGATCTTCTGGTGAAAAATAAGGTTTTTAATCATAAGGTCCCGGTAAATTTATGGATTCTAACTCTACATTACGTGCCGTTTAAATTGTCCAATTGTTAGGGGTAATTTAGCCTGTTTGAATTTCTGCAATACTTACCTTCGTCTTCTTTCACATTATCCTCCGTATTTAGACTGTCTCTAATAACTGCACGTGAATTATTGAAGGTAAGTTGATAGATTTGAATTCTTGGAATAATTTCGTTTTGACATAATTCTCCGTATTTGACCGATCTGTAGTAACAAATTCAGGAAGAAATTCATCATCAGAAAAAATATTTTGATTAAGAGCAATATTTCCATCGCCCTACTTGAATATTTTTCGACGTAGCTGCCACAGGAAAAACTTCTTGTTCTTCTTCATGTTTTTATGTAGACATGAATTTGTCTGTTTTTTAATGCTCCTCCAGTAAGTTGTCATTCCATCGTTTTCGTGGTCTTCCTACTGATCGTCGTCCAATTGAGGAGCGGTCTCTTGAAGTCTTTATTACTCTATTTGTAGTTACTCGACCTATAGGATCCTTCCAATCTACTTTTTTTATTTCTTACACAATTCTTAATGTTGTCCACCTTGCATATATACTTTATTGGTACTTTTAGCTGTGTTCCGTAGTGTCTTACCATCAATTTTTCTAAGAGTTTTCATCTCTGATGTTTGTAACATTGTTTTGGTCCTCTCTGTGTCAGGTCGCGTATGTCATTATTGCTCTGATGACTGTTTTGTAAATTCTGCCTTTCGTTTCCTTCCCGATATTTTAATTTCTCCATATTATTTTGTTCAGGCAGTCTGCAGCTCTGTTTGCTGTATTCACTTGATCTTCCACTTCGGTTTTGAAATTGCCGAGAGTAATATTACGTATTATGTATAGCAGAATATTTTAAGTTGTTTTTCTTTTATTTGGTATTTTTTTTAGTTCGGGCTGTCCTAATGATTTTCAATTTTTTTTTAATTTCTTAATACTTCCTTTAACTCTTCCTTCTCAATATTTATTTCTTCGTTGGTCGTCACTTCAAGTTTTGGTGAATCATTTCGTCACATTTAGCAAATAAGAATAGAAAATAGTCTGCCCATATTTCATTCTGAATGTGTTTTTATTAGTCATTTTCTATCTTTTCTTGGTCCTATGAACATTCTCCATATTTCTTTTTAAGTTCCGTAGAAGTCGTATTTCATCTATTTTAAAAAACTCTGCTAATGTTCCCTTTTGATTTGTCTGACTAAAGTATTTGTTTTATTTCTGATTCGTTTATAGTGGTTGTATGGGTATTATGTTTGGTACCTATTGTAAAAAGTTTTTCTTTTTTTCTTCACATTTTGACTTCACTTTCTTTCTAAACTAAGTGGTTTTCTTTTTCGATTGGTTAGTTTTCGTTACTTCCTATCTCCAAGTGATTCTGGTGCTGCGTTAATTATGTTATTTTTGAGTTTTTCCCAGCTTTCCTCCATGTTATCGGTTTCTAAAATTTCATTTCCAGCAATCTTCTCTGATATCTTTTTCTATATAAGTATTCCATGGAATCTCCTATTAAGTCAGCTGTGGTAACCGCAGAGCTATTCCGTGGATGATTGCGCATTAGTAAATCGCAAGCACTATTTAGATATTTCTTAAGGGGTCCATATCACATATTGACCAATCCAAAAAGCTTGGAGCTTATGAGAACAGTGTCTTGGCAGCTAATTTACCATCATACCATTATTTTTATAATAGACGCAGACTAGGATGCAGAGACTACTCCTAGTTCAAGAAAGTACGAGATTGGATAGCCTTGGGCTTAAATGATTTACTGAGAAAAATCCAAAAAAAGGAAACATTTGCCAAAATTTTTGTTGCCGATCTTTGATCAAATCTTTGTGCTCCACATTTGGGACCGTTATACTTGTATTAGTATGGCACACATTTTTTCTTTGCTTTTTGGGTTAGACCATATCACAGCCTCAGTTCACACTTTTGTTTTTGTTTCAATTTGTATATCATCCCTATTATTATGTTATACTGTTATACAATGTAACTAAGTATTATTTACCCTGCTTTCAGATACTAGTAATGTCACGTTTTGACACAATTTTTTTGGAAGTCATGTTTAATATTTATAAAGATTTTCTCCGAATTTATTAAATAAAAAATAACCTTGAACTTACAAACGTGTTTTTATTGAACTACTGTATATAAATTTATTTTAGCTTCATTTGTGGAACAATGTTACTATGATCAAACTTTAAATGATTGTATCATAAGAAATATAAATAAATTAAAACCGAAGGTTAAGAACGGAATCCCAGAACTTGGAATTCCTTCGCTAAATCCTTTAAAAGCACCAGGAGCTACTCTAGTGTCAGACGGAAATATGAAGCTCGTATTGAGAAATCTAAATATATATAATATCTACCAATTCGATTTAATAGATTTTAAGCATTATCGTAATAACCTCACTGACTTTTTTGAGTATTACCTTCCCGAAATTCAATTGAGATCGGATTACATCTTACAAGGACAATTTTTATTGTTCAATTTGGACAGCAGCGGTAAAAGCTTAATAACCCTTGGTAAGTTATAATTTTAGACTTTTAATATTCCTCTATTAACTTCTTTTACAATTTCTATAACGCATTTCTTAATATGTAAAAGCATAAAAGTCTTATTTTATACGTAAAATGAGAATTATCTCTCATAGAGTGATCCCAATCATTTTACAAGGTACTACTAAAATTTTAAAGTTTTCTTATATTCATCAAATCACATATCAAATAATATTCTCTATTAACTTTATGTTAGAAAGTATTTTAAGAGAAATATTTATAATCAAGGAACCATATTCAACCTAAAATATCAATGTGTAGCCAATTCCAACAAGCTGATTCTTCAAACGTGATCAAAAGACAAACATATAGTATATGGTAGTCAATAGAAGATTACAAAAAGATCCCATAAATAACTGTACGAAAATGTGCACACTTCAATGTGAGATCCCCAATTTTTAACGTAGGCAGCTCCTCTGCGTATATTTGTGTTGTGTAAAATTGTGTATAAGTTTTCCTACAGTCTGATAAATGCACATATTCCCATCGAGGATAAAGCAGGCATAGAAAAAGGAGAATTCTATGATAAATTAGAACAAATATATAGACAATGTCCCAATATCCACCTTAAGTTGATTAATATACTATATCCAACCATAGAGCCTTATAGCATACACGAAGAATGCAACGATAATGGGAGAAGACTTGTAAATTTCGCAGCATCTCTGAACATCACAATCAGTAGTACATACTTCAAACATGAGCGTAAAAGTGAGGTGGAGATCTAAAGATCAACAGACCCAAAATCAGATAGAGGCGCAAATATTGACTCCAATCACTTTCTCATAGCTGGGAGTCTCAGAGAATATATACTAGACTGCAGAAGTTATAGAGGCGCAAATATTGACTCCAATCACTTTTTCATAGCTGGGAGTCTCAGAGTACGTATATCAAACGTCAGGAACTTCTTCTTCTTCATCTTCCCTCTTGTATGTAGTGTTTTTTCTTTAATATTGGCCTCCTAATTTGTTGAAATGATCGCACCATCTTTTTCTTGGTCTGCCAATACCTCTTCGTTCATTTGGCGACTAACCTCGTGCTATTCGTACTATCCTATCCTTTGCCATTCTACTAATGTGTTCTTTCCACTCCTGTTTCCATTTTGTCACCCATCCATTTATGTCTTCTACATTGCATGCCCTTCTTATGTTTTCTCTTCTCTTCCTATCCAACAGACTTTGCATATATTCGTCGGAGTATTCTCATCTCTGTTGTTTCTAGTGTTCGTCTCGTTTTAAATGTGTCCGGTCTTGTCTCCGCCGTGTATTTTAATATAGGTCTAATTGCTGCTCTATAGATTCTTGTTTTTGTGTTTTGTCTTAGGTATTTGTTCTTTCAGATTGTGTCATTAAGAGATCCTGCCGCTTTACTTGCTTTTAAGTTTTGTTGTCGTACTTTTTCTTCAACATTGCCGTAACTAGTTATATCTATTCCCAGATATCTAAACCTTGCTTCCTGCTTTATTTTCTTCCCATCAATTTCGATTTTACATGGTAGTGTGTATTTGGATGTTGTCATACATTTGGTTTTTTCTGCTGATATTCTCAGATTGTCGTTCTTGGTTGTTGTACTGAAGATGTGTGTTAATCTTTGAAGCTCGTCTTCTGTCTCGGCGATTAATGCGGCGTCGTCTGCATAACATAATATTTAAATTTCTTTGTTCCCCATTATGTAACCATGTGGATGAGAATTGCCAAAAGTAGAAATCGATGGAAGCAAATGGAAGAGGCCTATGTCCAGCAGTGGACGAACACAGGCTGAAGAAGATGTAACCATGACCTTTACGTACTGCTTTTACTATTTTGTCCATTATTATATTAAACGTCAGGAACAATAAGATTAAATAAACAATAATCAAATATAACGTTCATAAATTAAAGGGTACTGACGTCGTAAGAAACTTTCAAACATGTTTAGATTGTAACCTAATAGAATATCCCAGAAGTGAAGTAGATCCCACTGAATTTAATACAAATTGAGATTTAATAAAAACCATGCTGAGAGAGAAAAATGACTCGTATCTGAAAATGATCAACAGAAGCACTAAGAGCAATGCTGAAGAAGGCTGAACAAAGAGAAGAGAGGAAAAACAAAAGCATAAACAGAAAATGCGGCAACAAATCACTAAAACGTTCGAAGAGATAAAAAAATTAAATAGAAAATACGAAAACAGAAAACTTTAGAAACATGTTAACACAAAAAGAAAAGTTTTCAAGCCACAAGCGAACCAAGTCGAGACTCATAGTGGAATTTTTTGAACTAAATAGTAGAAGTACTGAAAAGGTGGCAGAAACACTTACTTAATACCTAGCTACTTAATAGAGAAATAAGAGCTAAAGGTAGAGATGATATAGAATTAGAACAGAAGGAAAGTGAGCTACCAACTTTGGAAAAAATGAATAAAGCTATTCAATCTCTAGTCAGAAACACATCACCCAGTACACGTCCGCAGAAAATTATAGAAAAATTAAAGTTATTTTGATGAAGATAAACGAAAATCATTTAGATATTATTTGAAGCCAATTATATTTTAAACTTTTAGCTTTCTAGCTTACGCCAAATATCGTAGAAGATAAAGATGAATGCTAATATTACTGTTATAACTATAAGGTCAGCAGTTTCACAAAAAAATTGGAAATTTTGTCAATAAATGGCATTAGGGCAGTTAGTCTTTGTACTATTCTTTATTATTATGTCTTACTCTCAATTATAAATAATAAATCAATAGTAACAACACTCAGTCAATGACGAGCAACTTCTGTACAAAACCCTTGTGTCGTTTCATTTTTTTACATTTAAGTAGAAACCATAAAACACCATAAGGAAGCTTCGTTTTAAGTATTCGTTGTAGTTTTTATCACAAGGAAACTGAATTCCTGTAGTCAGCTACCATGATACCATGAATCCCAAAAAGTTTTTATAAATTCCTATTTTCAAAATTCCTTTATAAAAGGTATATTAATATAAAAACCCTATCACAGAACGTTTTTGAAATAACTATTCCATCAGCAGTGCTAAGCAGTGAAAGCTAAAATTTTGACCAAAGTTATTACAAAAATGTGGTGCAATAGTTACTGGATTTACATGTTTGAATATATGGGTAAAAACCCTTTAAATGGAGTTAAATTAACTTTGAATTGCATCTTTGATATTAAAATACTATGGTCTTTAGGTTATAAATGGAATTGGTCACATGTTAACGTAGCACTCCGTTGGGTTTGCTGGTCCTTAGACGAACTGTCTGACTAAAGTTTTTTTAATAAACCGACATTTATTAAATTTTAATAAGTATTATATTGAATCGTCAAAAAATAGTATGTATATTTTAAACTTTAAATTGCTTTGCCACTGTTTGCATTATTTGTGCCTTTGACTGAATTGTCAAGCAACACTTTTTATTCGCAAGCAACAAGTGGGTATTTTTATTTCTTGATACTTATACTACATTCTATTCTAGTTATTAATAATTTATATATTTTTCAGCTGGTGTACATGCCAAACATTTAGTAAAACTACAAAAAATAATGAAACATGGAGAGGAACACCTTAAAATTAATAAAACTGAAACAACAATAGAAGTTAATGATATGCATGTCCAATTGGATGATCTGTTCAAAAATAATCCAGAATTATCTGATAGTGCCAATAAACTGGTGTCAGAAAATGCAAAATCTTTATTACCAGATTTAGAAATGGTGCCGAAAATGTTTGGAGAAATTGTAGGCAACCTCGTAGAGAAAGTCTACAATAAATTTTCTGTTAATGAACTTTTACCTGTAAGGCCTCATTAGAGTATAATAAATATTTATGTATATGTAATATCTATAACTTATTTGTAATAAATAATGTAAATAACAGTATTTAATAAATATCAAAATTATTTGTCGTTACAGGGTGTTCCAAGATGTTGTTAACAGCCCATAATTCAGAAAGTAATGACTATTTCTATTTAAAAATTGGGAATTGTCAATTCTTCTTCTTCATGTACCATGTCCTTTGAGAACGTTGGTTACCATCATAGCTATCTTAATTTTATTCACCGCCGCCCTAAATAGCATGCTTGTATCAACACCATACCAATCTCGCAAGTTCTTCAACCATGAGGTTCTTCTTTGTCCTGAACCAAGAACGGTTGACTACATAGGATAGTTCCATCTCCCAAATTTAGGTGACGTAGGTGTGGGGATGACAAGCAATTATTGACCTTATTGATACTATTAACTTTTATGGAAGATGAGCTTAATTTGAGATTAAAAAGTTTAAAACGACAAATTTACGTTTTGTTTTTATAAATAGATGTAGTTTTCTAATTATTGGAAATCTTCTTTTTTGTACAATAGAATTACCTCAGCATTGTGCCATTTGTCAGGTATATTACTGTTCAAAAGGCACATGTTAAAAATATGTTTTATTTTCTTAAGTAGGCAAGTGCCTCCGATTTTGATTGCATCAGTAACTACACAATCTTTGCCTGGAAATTTGTTATTCTTAGCTTTTCTTAGGGCTAGTTTTATTTTGTCTATTATTTTCCTTGTTAATATTTCTGGTACTTGATCTTCTCTGCTATTTGCTTTGTTTTGGCTTATGTACAGCAATTTGTAGAAGTCTTCAATTATTTTAAGGGTTTCCTCTCTATTGGTTGTAAGATGACCATTTCTATCTTTAATCTTAGTCTTTTTCTCAATATTTTCATACTTCTATTGTTCTCAATGGTATGTTCAATTTATTCTTGCTTGTATTTTCGAGTGTCTTTTTGTAGTTCGTCGGCTTTAGTTTCCGTCTTGCTTCTTCCCTTCTTTTCTCCATTAGTTGCCTGGTATTTTGGACAATCTTCTCTTCTTTTTGAGTTCTAGAACAGAATTTGTTTTGACTTTCTAGTAAGCTATTTGTTAATTTATTATTTAAGTCATTTATATTATTTTCTGTTTCAGCACTACTAAGTATGTCGAAAATACATTATTGAAAACTATCTATTATACATCTGGTGATTTCATCCATGGTTTTTATTTGTTGTTCTTTTTTTATTATCTTATATTATATACCTCCCATTCTTTAAGCTTATTTTTATTTTACCTCGTACCATTCTATGATCGCTATTGGTAACAAATCTGTTTAGAACCATGATGCCTTTACGGTGTGTTTTTTGTTAGTGATAATAAAATCTATTTCGTTTTGAGTATTTCTATTAGGACTTTGCCACATCCATCTTCTCTGTGGTTTCTTTTCAAAAAACTGTTTATTTGGAATTGTTGATGCTGCAACATGAACCTTAACAATATTTCGCCACGTTCATTTCTACCATCCAAGCCAAAATCTTTCAGTGGTGTTTCTGTAGGGTTGGATTTCATTTATGTTTTGGCGTTAAAATCATCACATATCAAAGTAAAATTTCTTTGATGGTTTTTAAGAGGAGTTTCGATATCATCATAGAATAGATCCACTTCTTCTTAATCATGGTCTGTTGTTGGTGCATAAACCTGTATTATTTACATATTTAACCATACATAATGTACAACTTACAACTACAAATAGTAACAGTTAATATCATGTCTTGTATTCACACATTACTACGTGTATTGTAGTTTTAAAACAGAATTTTCAAATATCGTGAGTTCATACAGTAGTAAAAATGCCTTTCTTATTTACACCCAATGAGTATTATTTTATTGATTTATGGTGAATGTATGAAAAATGCTCAAGCCCTATACACGGAATGCTTTCCGGAAAGAAGAACACTGTCTTATGTAACATATGCTATGATAGAGGAGAAGATGCACCAAGCTTTATTTCCAAACGGTAAACATAGAGTTTCATAGTAAACGTAGATGAAGAAAAGACCCGACTAAAAATTGTGATGGGAGATTTCAACGCCAAGCTAGGACAAATACTAAATGACAAAGAACAAAAATAGGAAAATATGGATATGGTGTACGAAACGAAAGAGGGACAATCCTAATGAACTACATGGAGAAAAAAAGAAACTCTACGCCATGAACTCCTTTTTCAAGAAGAAGCCACAGAGAAAATGGACCTGGATAAGCCCTGACACTAAAACTAAGAACGAGAACGACTACATATTATCAACACAAAAATACGTAGTCAAGGATGTCACAGTGCTAAACCGTTTCACAACAGGCAGCGATCATCGAATGGTGAAGGCTAAGATACAAATTAACAGCCAATTTGAAACCAGAAAGAAAATCAAAAACGTACAAAAACTAGATATGGAGAAACTTAGCCACAACGAAGAAAAGTTCAAAGAAAAAATAAAAAAATGCATCCCAAATACAACCGACTTAATAAATAAAGAAACAAACGAAATAAATAAAATACTAACAACTACATTGCTACAGGCCGGGGCAAGAATTGCAAAATCGACGACAAAAAAGGACAATTATATCTCAGAAGAAGTAGAAAACCTGATGAAAACAAGAAAAAGCCTACTTGAATAGGGCAAAATAAACACAGTAGAATATACTGAAATCAATAAAACAATTAGAAAAAACATAAAAGAAACCAAGAGAAAAACGCAGGAAGCAAATATTGAAAGAGTAATCCAGCAGAACAAAAATATGAAATGCTTAAAACAATGACTCGGTAAAACTCAGATAAATGAAATGACAAACAGCAAAAGAATAACCATTAATGATATGAAACAAATAATAAAGTTGACACAAGAATACTATACGCACCTATACAGAACAAGACATAAAGCACAACAAAAAATTCTTAAACAATTAAACACAAAAATAAAGAATATAAACTCTGACCTACAACCAGATATAAGTAAAACAGACATCGAGAAAACAATTAAAGAATTAAAAAACCATAAGTCACCTGGAAAAGATGGAATAACTGCAGAGATGCTGAAGAGAGGAGGGAAACCAACTAGAGAAGTCCTACATATCCTCATGAACAAAATATTGAGCACAAAAGAAATACCCGATAGCTGGAACGATGCGGAGACACTGTTAATGTTCAAAAAAGGTGACCGAAAGAACTTAGAAAACTACAGACCTATAACATTACTCAGTGTTGTAGTTAAACTACTAACGAAGATCATGAGAAATAGACTAACAACTAAGCTTGACGAATGCCAAGCAAGAGAACAAGCGGGATTCAGAAAGGGTTTTAGTACTAGCGACCATCTGCTAACAGTAAAAATACTGATTGAAAAGTCGAACGAGTATCAAATCCCATTATATATGGCATTCATAGACTTTCGAAAGGCGTTTGACAGCATAGAACATTGGGCCATCAAAAACTCACTACAGAACGGCAGAATTGATTACAGGTCTCTCTTCAATCCTGACCCTCCAGGGGGAGTGTAGTGGTCGACGTGATGTCGTGTATTGTCCGTCTCCAGAGATCTCTGTCTCTGGTTATTTCTTTTAATTCATGCATAGGTCTTTGGCATATTCCTGCAATTTGATCTATCCATCTTGTTGGGGATCTTCCTCTGATCTTCGGCCTTCTACCTTACAGGTATGACAGGTACACGGACCTAATAACAAACATATACAAAAATGCGAGTACCACAGTAAAATTGACGAACGAACACGCTACAGAACCAATAAAATTTCGAAAGAGGAATCAGCCAAGGAGACACAATATCACCAAAACTGTTCAATCAGGCTATGGAAGACATATTTAAAAAATTAGAATGGGATACATACGGAATAAGAATAAATGGAGAGCTCTTGAATCACTTGAGATATGCAGACGATATAGTCCTGATAACAGATAAGAAGGAAGAGTTACAGAAGATGGTTGAGGAACTAGATAGAAAAGCGACAGAGGTAGGTCTAGAGATGAACTATAGTAAAACCAAGACTATGACAAACCAAGAAGACCAATTAGAAATAATAGTCAAACAGAATAAATTAGAGCAGGTGGCAGAATACATATACCTAGGACAGATAATAAAGCTGAACAGGGACAATCAAACAAAAGAAATAAAAACAAAAACAAGAACTAAACTAGCATGGGCCTCATTTGATAAACTATCAAATATTCTAAAAAATAAAAAGTTCACTCAATATATGCGAAGGAAAGTATTCAATCGGTACATTTTACCAGTTATCACATATGGCTCACAAACATGGACTTTCACAAAGGAGAACATCGACAGGATATCCAAAACACAAAGAGCAATGGAAATACAGATGCTGGGTATCGGTCTTAAAGACAGGAAAATAAACTCATGGATCAGAGAAAAAACAAAGGTGAACGATGTATCAAGACAGGTTGCAAAACTTAAATGGAACTTCGCCGGTCACACTCTCCGGCAAAAAGATGAAATATGGAATAAGCTAATTCTACACTGGAGACCATGGGAAAAGAAAAGAAAAAGAGGAAGACCACAGATGAGATGGACTAAGGATCTTAAGAGAACGGCAGGAAAGGACTGGATGCAGAGCGCTCAAAATAGAGACTAATGGAGATTAACAGGGGAGGCCTATGCCCAAGAATGGGCGTTTAAGGCTAATTAGATAGAGATAGATAGATAGATAGTGTATTAGTGATGTCATTTGTCCACCACAAAAGAGTATCTTTATTTAATCCTTTGTATTGTGCTGAGTGCCTCATAAGATGTTCCATTTTTAGATTCAGATTTTATTTCCTACTTGATAGGTATTCTGGGCTAAGGAGTAGATCAGGTTTGTTAATTTTTGATGAAAATTTTGACGAAAAATGAACAATAATTATACTATTTTTGTTTATACAAGACAATTAATATATTTCGACTTTAGTAGCTGTTTTTATATCTTTCCATGATTTCTCTTTTACA